GTGTCCGCAGGCCCATTATGTCTGCCCCGTTGTGTCCGCATGATGCGATTGTTAATTAATAAAGTCTCAGGTATTTTTCTTTTTTTCAAAAGCTTTCCTTTTTTTAAATTCCTTGCAGGTATTTAAATGTATGCTGTTATTCTTCCACAACGGCTCCGTGTTGGGTTATGTTCCTAATGAAAAATGAAACAATGAAAAAAAGTTTATTCTGGGCCAAAATAATTCTGTGCGGATTACTTTGTGCACAATTCCTTGTAATGGGTTTCATGTAGATAGTAATGCAATTCATGAGAAAAAGCTTTACTTTTATGAGTAACCATGAGTTTGTTTTTGCATTCAAATGGGGACCCTGAACAATAGAGGACAATAAGGTCCCCGATTCACATAGGGTCCCCGAATAAAAATTGTGCACAAAACATATGGGTGGTCTTTTAAAAGAGTTGAAGTAAAACAAAAGAGGAACAATAGGGGGTCCCCAGTTGCAGGAAAATTGTGTGTGGGGGTTTATAAGGAAGGGGCGTAACAAGTCGCACTACACGTATGTTTCACCCCCATTCAACGTGTGAAAATTAACGACTTCGACCGTGGGAGACGGTTACTTGAACCACGGCCGGACCCTCGTGAACCATACGGAAATGTCCTTAGCAACTTGCCAATCCTCTGTTGAGCCTTCTCGTTTTGAAGACTTCTTTGCACAAAGTTAATAAACGGAGTGAAACTCTTTGTATGTGCCCCAGACAGAAGGCTTAAATCGAATAAAACACTACAGCATTGGGAAAAGAGTTTGAAAAGTTTGAAATTTATCCTCAAAGTTGTTGCTAAGATGATAAATTATGTTCATTTTCAATCGATCACTTCGTCTTTTTCCACAAAGTTTCTTAATTTTAGATGCTCTCCCAAAACAGTGAGACACTGCATACGACAGGCCAGAATCTCAACCACACGGTACAATGTAGTTCTATGTACATGCAGCTATATATTTTGGTTCGACTTCCATGAGTTATATTTGATACTTCTGCGCAGGGCGATCTGTCCGTGTTTTATATGCTCAAAACCGATCCAGTATACTGCGGGTTGTTACCGCGGCGTACAAGTGCATGTACAGGTGCAAGGAAATTCTTGACCGTTGGAGCAAGTGTACATGTACATGTTTGTGTGGTTCATGCTCGCACAGTACATGTAAAACTCAGGATATATTTAGTTGTTAACCGTAGTAAAAGTAAAGAAACTGAAACCTGTCAAGCCAGTTCATATTCTGTTTAATGTGTTCTTCAAAGTTAATTACCGTTGCAGGTTGAAGCATATCAAGGTTCAGCATTAATTTCACGTCAAGTTTGCAATCGTATTCGGGGGTTGCAAACTGTAGCCTACTTTCATTTTGAGTACATTTTATACTTTATGAATTTTAAACTTCAGAACTATTCTTTGGGATCAAAAATGTCATTTCCATCACCATTTTCCCTTATTATTGGCTCTAAATCATTGCTGGTTTTAGTCTCATTCGAACCTGTCTGGTAGCGAATGTTTTTAATGTTGAAAGTGTTGACTTATGAAGTAGTACTGATATTTAAAATTTCATAATTATAAATCCGAAACGAAGGCAGGGAAAGGAAGTATTCCTGGGTTTTTGCGTCTTGTTGGCGTGAACTAGAGAGGTTTGAAAAGTAAAAATAACTAACCTTCCTGATTTCAATGTTTCATGTGGTTATAAAGAAAAATGGTTAAATTTACAAAACTGAAACCTATTACATCTGTTATTTATAGTCAACACAGATTCCGGAGTTTGTTTGTTTGAAAAGCTTATAACCGATGTAACGAAAATTCAGTCTGATTCGATTGCAGTTTGTGTTCATATTCTGGGGTTTACTGTATTTCATTTTCTGGTATGCTATGTACTCTTTTCGTATTTGTTCACTTTCAGAAATGTTCTTGTGCACTCACAAATAGTTTTTGCACCTAAGTTTTCCGTTGCTATTAGCCTTCATTTATTACTGTTCTTAGTCTCAATAAAACGTGTCGGTTAACATATTTCTCTTAAAATGTTTGAACATTGGTTCACCTCAGCGTTATTAGTCAGCGAAGGGTCTCCGTTTTAATTAATTTTAAGGATCCACGAAATGAGGTTTACTTGGAAGCACTTTTAGTGTATCTCTGCACTCTTCTTTGATGTATGAAGACTGTTTGACATCCTTTTTGAGTTGCATGAGTTACACAATAAAAACATTTACAATTGACCGAGCATTTGCAACATTGAGATTGCCTTCAGTGCAATCACAGGTTTCCTTATGAATGTGCAAATTGCA